CGGTTTCTGTCAAAGGCTTTCTCAGCCCCACCTACCTCACAGGGTGTCTGCTGTGGGGAGGGGAAGGGAAAGGAGTTTGTAAGCCGCTCTGAGACTCCCTTGGATAGTGAAGGGCGGGGTATAAATCCTTCTCTTCTTCTTCTTCTCTACAGAACTGCTGTGCGTGTTTCTCAAATTGGGTTGGGAAAACACAGCTAGAGACACAGGTTGTGTCTAATAGTGTCCACCCAAAGAGTTGATGCAGACTCTCTAGCATTCAGCTGTCTATGGCCATGCTGGACAGTCCTGAAACAGACTGGATTCTCAGCTCACTTCGAGCTTGGGCCTCTCTCTTGGCCTCCATCCCAGTGCGTATCAGATGCTACTCTGACACAGCACAATGGCCCCGGTGAGGTGGGGTGGGGGGCGGGCATCTGGATGCATTTTTAGGTGGCTTCCGAAAGAAGTGGGAAAGCGATGGAGGAACCAGATGGGGATCCATCCAGCAGTAGAGTCACAGCCTACGTACTTCGCTTCAGAGGGTAACCGTGCCGGTCTCCAGTAGAAGAGCTGGGTTCCAGTCCAGGAGCAGCTTAGAGACCAACAAGAGTTTCAGGGGACGAACCTTCGAGAGCCAAAGCTCTGTTCGTCTGATATCTGACTCTTGAAAGCTCTTACCCCTGAAATCTTGTTGGTCTCTTAGGTGCGACTGGATTAAAATCCAGCCTATGTAGTAGTAGTAGTAGTAATGCCATGGATTGAACCTGTGGACTTTCTACATGCCAAGCAGATGCTCTAATATGGCATTGTGTGTGGTACAGCCAGGAGATCTGAAGATTGTCTGGCAGCCTTAAGTTCTAACTCTTTTAGCATTATGCACCACTAGGTGGTGACCTAGACTTATTTGGGGGGGGGCTGAGAGAGCTCTGGGAGGGCTGCGACTGAGCCAAGGTCACCCAGCTGGCTTCATGTGGAGGGGAGTTCCCTCTAAGCCGAGTGAGTGTGAGCTAGCTCACCGTTTTTTTAGCCTCCGGCTCACACATTTTTGTCTTTGCTCAGGATGGACGGCTCCAGAGCAAACTAACTGATGCAGCAGCCAGATCGCTCGCTCCCGACTTGGAATGCCAGTGGCTCACAAAGTAGAATTTCTGCTCACAAGACTCCACAGCTTGGAGGGAGCATTGGTGGGGAACCGAACCCAGTTCTCCCACATTAGAGTCCGCCGCTCTTAACCACGACACCACAGCTGGCTCTCAGCGGATGCTCTACCACTGAAGGACTGTGGCACAGCAGATGCTCTGCCGCTGAGCCATGGTCCCTCCCTATTCTTTTGCCTTCTACTGAATCAGACCCTACCCTGGGTCCATCAAGGTCAGTGTTGTCTGCTCAGACCGGCAGCGGCTCTCCAGGGTCTCAGGCGGAGGTCTTTCCCATCACCTACTGCCTGGTCCTTTTTGACTGGCGATGCCGGGGATTGAACCCTGGGAGCTTCCGCGTGCCGAGCAGAGGCCCCTCCTCTCATGATTCAGCTCCATACACAAGAGCATCATGTCACTAATCACGGGCACAAATGCACAACGGAGATCCTCGAGACATCGTTCTGAACCGACAAGATTAACAGCTGAGAATTCACCGCCAGCCAGTGTTCCCTCTAAGCTGCGTTGGTGTGAGCTAGTGCACAGTTTTTTAGCCTCCGGCGCACACATTTTTTGTCTCAGCTCGGGAAGGAGGGCTCCAGAGCAAACTAATCGATACAGCGGCCAAATCATTCGCTCGTCACTTGAATGCCAGTAGCTACAAAGGAGAATTTTTGCTCACAAGACCCCACAGCTTAGAGGGAGCATTGCTGCTGGCATAGTGAATCTATTGCACGTGGCCCAGAAAGCACCAGTCACAGGCCTGTAGCTATAGTGGGGCATCTCGGGGCCTGCCCCCCTGACTTACTACCAATGCCCCCCCATCCAGCCCAGCCCCCTCTGACTTCCAATTTTTAATTTTATTTGTGGCACTCCCTTGGGGGCAGGGTGTTGGGAGAGACTGTGTGGGGTACCTCCCCCGCCTTGTACTCCATGGAGAGGACCTCTTGCAGGTTCAGGGAAGCTCCTTCTCTAAGCTGCCTGAGGGTCATCTTCAGAGACGTCGGGGACATTTTAGCAATCGTCTGCGGAGCAAATCAAAGATTTTCCCATTTGAATCTTATATTTCATACCATTAGGAAGATTTCCAAGACCACCCCAGGCCCAGTATTATGTGTAGGGATTTTAAGCAGGAAAGAAGCACATCAAAGAAAAGCATTAGGGGGTACTGCTCCTTTGAGAGCACCTGAAAGAATAAATGCAAACAGGTCTTCCATTCATTAAAAGGATCGGCCTTCTTTGTCCCAAGCAGTGTAGCTGAGTTTGTGTGAGCTAGCTCACAGTTTTTTAGCCTCCGGCTCACACCTTTTTGCCTTAGCTAAGATAAAGGTAAAGGTTCCCTTGCTCGAAAGCCAGTCGAGTCCGACTCTAGGGTTGCGGTGCTCATCTCCGTTTCAAAGCTGAAGAGCCAGTGCTGTCCGAAGACGTTTCCATGGTCATGTGGCCGGCATGACTAAACACCAAGGCGCACGGAACGCTGTTACCTTCCCACTGAAATAGTACCTATTTATCTACTTGCAATTTCTTGCTTTCGAACTGCTAGGTTGGCAGGAGCTGGAACTACAGATGGGAGCTCACTCCGTCATGCGGCACACTCGGGTCTCGAACTGCCAAGCTACCGACCTTCCACAGCCTGCAGTTCAGCGTCTTAACCACTTAGTAGCCAAATCGCTCGCTCACAGCCAGTAGCTCACAAAGTAGAATTTTTGCTCACAAGACTCCACAGCTTAGAGGGAGCATTGGTCCCAAGCCCCCCCAAAAACACTACTTCCTGTCTCATGACCTTGCCGAAAGGACTTCCCGCTCCCGGATAACACACATGAACACATGAAGCTGCCTTATACTGAATCGGACTTATTGGCCCACCAAAGTCAGTCTTGTCTACTCAGACTGGCAGCGGCTCTTCAAGGTCTCGGGCAGAGAGAGGTCTTTCACATCACCTACTATCTGGTCCCTTTGAGTGGAGATGCCGGGGACTGAACCTGGGACCTCCCGCATGTGAAGCAGATGCTGTACCAACTGAGCCAAAGCCCCTCCCCCAAACGCCCCTCTGCCAATACCCAGAGAGCATGTAAAAAAAACCAAAACCCAAAGATAAGCTTGACAAATTGTGAGCTGAATTGCACCGCTTAGCATCACAAGAGACCTGGTGCCCTGGGAAGAGGCAGATGGCGCGATTTACCCCCTGCCGCTGCTTTCGGCAGGTCCGCTCACCCATAGGGTGCGATGGCAGCTGTCCAACTCGCAGCGGCCGTGGCTTTTCCGGCTCCCGATTGCTCGGCTCCCCCTCTCTCTTCACAGACACCGGCTGATAAAGCAGTGACCCATTTTGCCTGTGTTGTCCTTACATCTGCTAACTCCCAGCTGCCGGGTAGATCTGAGAGCGCGAGAGGACACGGAGGGTTTTGCCTCCGGTTTTGTGCACATGAATCATTACCAGCTGGCTTAATAGCCACTGCGGGGAGAGAATGAAATCCTAGCAAACAGCCATCTGCCTTCAACTGCTCTGGAATGTTCCGGTTCCTTTCTCCAGGATCACGGACCGAGGCCGGGGTGCCACAAGTCTGTCTGACTAGAGGAATGTCTCTAAGTATCCTTTGCATTCTTCATCGATTTCACCTGAACAGTCCAGCTTTTCTTCCTTAGGTTCATTATAAATATGTGTGAATATGAGGGCATAAGTTAATATCTAATGGGAATTAGAATTATAACAGGAAGTGGTGGCAGCTTCAGGCACAGACTGTGTGACACAGATTGTTGGACTAGACGGGCCATTGGCCTGATCCAACATGGCTTCTCTTATGTTCTTATGTCTGGAGTAGTGATGCTCTGTATTCTTGGTGCTTGGGAGGGGGCAACCGTGGGAGGGCTTCTGGCGTTCTGGCTCTGCTGGTGGACCTCCTAATGGTACCTGGGGTTTGGCCGCTGTGTGACACAGAATGTTGGACTGGATGGGCCAGTGGCCTGATCCAAGATGGCTTCTCTTATGTTCTTATGTCTGGGGCAGTGATGCTCTGTATTCTTGGTGCTTGGGGGGCAACAGTGGGGGAGCTTCTGGAGTTCTGATCCCGCTGGTGGACCTCCTGATGTCACCCAGGTTTGTCCACTGTGTGACACAGGGAATGAAAGCATCGTATAGGGGGAGGAGCACAGAGAAGTGAGTTGCCCAGTCTTTCTATAGCAAAAGGTGATGGCAATCGGGCGGGAAAACTGGAAGAGGAACTGATCGATCAGCAGACAAAAGACGGGGCCACCTGGAGACAAGGGAGAAGGCGTCTCAAGAGAACTATTTGTGGCCACATCCTGAGGGAGAGAGGACATGTCTGAATTCTGGGAAGAAGGACCTTAAAAGCTCAACACCCCCTGAGGGGTGCCCTCAGAAAATCCGGTGTCTTAAGTGCTCCTCAGATTCACAAAAGCACCCCAATCAGATCCACTACGGCCAGGGGTCATTTCCTGCGGGAGCACACAGGAGCGGAGCTCCGGCACTAAGGAGCCCAGGGGGCGGGCACATGCAACAAGCCCCACCCCTGCTCCCAGCAGCCCTCAGTTGGGCCATGAGGAGCAAGAAGCAGCCAGGTAAGTTGCA